GTTTCCGAGGCTGTAAATCTTTACAGGAGCAGAAAGCCTCATCTTTCTCCCATGGAACAGCTGGTAGTTTCGAACTGCTGACCCTGAGGTTAGCAACCTGATTTGTAACCACTACACTACCAGAGCTCCTTTATACCAATAGATAATTCCACCAACAGGGTATGACAGTTCTATTAAGGCCTCATCTTCATCGATACTTGGTTTTGTTAGCCTTTTACATGTTAATTATCATGATCGGTGTGTCATGGTGGTTTTTATGTATAGTTCTATAGTTTGGGCTACTGGTTGTTTTGTATGAGTTCTTTATATATTCTGTATGTTTATCCTTTTGGGATTATATGTGATAATAATCTCCCCAGGTTTTCAGGAAGGGGTACTGGTTAAGGGCCCGGCTGCCAACCAAAAGGTTGGTGATTCTAATTTATCAGACGCGCTGCAGGACAAAGATGTGGCAGGCTGCTTCCATGAAGATTTACAGTCTTGGAAACCCTGTGGGGCAATTCTACTCTATCCTATAGGGTCGCTGTGAGTCAGAATAAACTACAGCAGTGTTGTTTTGGGTTTAGGTCTTCAGGAAAAAGAGATAAGCTAAGACAACCAGCCGAGAACTCAGGCATAATCGGCAAGAATTTAGGCTACAAGCAAAAAAAATTCTTTATGGGCATAAACATTTTTGCTGGGATTTTTTTCTTGCCCATGGAGGCCCTGTTTGCTGAACAAGAAGAGTGCTGGGCCTTGGAGGGTAGGCCTGGTAGGTGTGGAGATTTAAGTAACCTTCCAGGCCCCTGAATCTGGGAGGATATCAGCAAGAGGTTGCTGTCCTGGGTGCTGAAGCATGTCCCTGAAGCTCTGTTGGTCTCTCAGCTTTGCTTTTCTAGTTTGTGAAGATATGTGATGTTTATACCCCATTTCTGGATAAATAGAGCTTTGGTGTATAGCTTCCAAGCAGCATAATTTTAGTAGCGTTAATAAAGTTCTCTGCTTTTTAATACTAATAAACTTATCCTCCATACAGCACTTACCATTGTCTTAATTACCACACAGCGACTCAATCCTCACAAAAACACACGGAAGCAGCGGTTATTATTCTCCCCATTTTGCAGAGGGACAGGCTGAGGCATAGAGTAAAGAAGTGACTTGCTTGAGGCCACAGAGGTTAGTGGTATTGCCACAGTTTGAACCTAGGAGATAGGGCTTATAGACTGCCCTAACTGCTGAATTCACTTTCTGCACATTCTATCTTTTCTGGCCTTTTTTTCTGCAGAGCATAAGGCTCCTGACTTAAGTATCTTTTTGAGGGGTCTGGATCAAATACTGAAGAGGCCAGGGGCCCCATTTCAATTTTGAGAAGTCTGGGTTGCTGAGTACTGAGCAGAAAGCAGATCTGTATATATGTTGTTGTTGTTGTTGTTGTTATGTGCCTTGGAGTCGGTTCTGACTCAGAGCGACCCTGTACAGGGTTTCCGAGGCTGGAAATTTTTACGGGAGCAGAAAGCCTCATCTTTCTTCCGCAGAACAGCTGGTAGTTTCGAACTGCTGACTGTGAGATTAGCAGCCCGATTTGTAACCACTACGCTACCAGAGCTCCTTGTATTATGAGGAGGGGCATTTAGGACCCCCTAGTAAAGAAGTTTCTTCTCTGTGGAGCTTCTGCTTGTTTACTTCCAGGGATGGGGAGCTCCCTCCCTCCTTCCCAAAGAACTATGTTGAGGCAGATATAGTTATTAGAATACTTTGATACACTCAATACGTCTCTTGGCTTTAATCAAAATCTGCCCAATGCTCATGGCAGGTAAGACTTATTGTGAACCCTGCCCCAACATTCCCACTCCTCAAAGTGATGGACTATGGTATAGCAGCCAACCCACGCTG